CTTACCGACTCAGGAAGATATTCCTCCGGATACGAACCTCCTGGGGATTCTACGACCCCCTTCCCTCACTCACCCCCCTTGACGCCCTGAGAGGACTAGGACCTCCCTTGCTTATCTATTTACATATTCATGTGAACAATTATTTTCTATTATGAAATTAAATAAATCGCGATTACGCGAACAGTTAACAGATTCACATTTAAATGCAATAATTCGTTTAAGTTGTGCCAAAACGATAACACCTGATATATCATATATAGTATCGGAAAACTGAATATGAATCAAATATTGATTAAATGTTATAAGAGTTGCTTATTTAATATTATTGTAAGAATGGTTTACTTAAAATATAGATAGTTACTAATTTATGCTAATTCTGGATCTGAATTTGTGCAACACAATATTTTTTTACTCCTTGAATAGCACATTCAACGAACAGACGTTCCTGCTATCCCCTCTCCTCACCTTATTACGTCTAGCCGCCTAACGCTAGCCCCAGCGCGCTCGACTGTTGCCCGCGGGTATTGAGCGCCCGCGAGCAGTACTCACTTGCCGACCCCTGCCCTACATGATGTACTGTTTTTAAACCATTTTCATCCTATGGCCATATTGCGGGATATTCTCTAGTACATACTACGGATTAGGTTAGTGAGCGGTAGTAACGATCTAAGTATATTCCACAGTATAGTATGTATTTCGAATGTTCGGAGAATATCTCAAATATACTTATATGATATCCTGAGAACATTTTCAGAATAGACGAGTGCTATTAGGGCGTTTAAAGAATGGACGTGTACTATATTGGTACAATATGCATCAAAATGATTAATGAAATACATGTATTATATATATGTTTGCATGTATGACCAAAATTAAAATAATTTAATAGAAATAGAAAATTAATAGAAAATTACTAGTTAGTATGCGTATTAAGTGATCGGTATAAACAACTGATTCTGATAGACATAATAGAAGGTTCTAGGTGAAAGATATTGCGATTGGCAGGCGACAATTGCGCTTCCGCGACTTCCACTCCATGGGACATACATAGAAAATACATTTCAGCAGAACATAATTGACGGGACGTTTGTCGGATCACGAGCGTTCCGCCAATTTCGCATTGCGCACATTCCGCATCCATGAGACATCACTCTGACTTATCAGTCTGATGATCCGCTGAATTCTGATGAAAGACAAGGATGAGTACACAAAAAGAAAAACAAACGATGTCGTCGAAATGAAAAATGATTATATGCATATTGTTGATGCATGAATCTTTTTTGTTAGAGTATGGACTGTAATTTCACAAGCTCAGTATTATTCTTTAAAGTAATCCGAACGGGACTATATCATTTTGCACATACGAAACTGTAAAACTTTTATATCAAGGAAACAGCATAGCGTGAACACAAACGTATATAATCTCAAGTATAATATCAAGTTGAGCCGAAATTAAGTAAATACTTATATTTTCTTGTTAAATCAAACATCGCGCACATTCTTTTTGTGCGTATTTTAATTGTCTGAAAGGATTTTACAATCTGTAAAGCCAACAAAAAGTTCTTTGATGCACTGTAATATGTCGTTTTTTTACACCAATTAATTCATTTCATTATTCTATGCATAAAAGAATTAAAATATAGTTACCAAGAAATGAAAATAGTTTATTAATTGAGATATTTTATTAATATTAGTTAATAATAACACGATTCTTAGTTAATAATAAATAATAAAAATTAAAGAAATAGGGCAATGGGAATAGCGCGATAAACAATACGCGATAAACAATTAAATTAATTTGCGCATTGTAATTAATTAAATTCATTTATTCTTGAATAATCAAACGTTTTGGCTTTAATGATTGAGCCATCTTCAGTGATACACCGTTGAGAATTGAAAGGCCGAACTTTACCGTAGTACAGCAAATTGTTTGTCGCCCACTTCGGTTATTAAATGAGGAAAACAATTTATTCATGTCCCTGAATGGCGATAAAATGCTGGTATAAAAATCTAGAATTATATAATG